CAGCATCCAATCAGGAAACTCTTCCTGTGCCCCAGGAAGTTCAAAGGTTAGAGAGGGCATAAATCCAAGGGATTCTCAGCATCTCTTCCCTTTTTTTGCCCAGGAGCTCCAAGGCATGTGGTCCTGTCCACCATTAAACCTTCTTTCCAAGCAATTTACATGAATCCCGTGTCTTTTTCCCCCACTTGGAACTGAACCCGGAAGGATATTTCTTCCAACACTTGCTTGAATGGAACCTCAGGACTTTCTGACTGCACTGCATCTCCCCTGCTACATAAACTGTGAATTTCTCTTATCAGTGTGGGATGGCCAAAGAATTCAGAGTATCTTCCCTCAGTCAGAATTCAGAGTATCTTCCCTCAGTCAGTAATTACAGGTAGTGCTCGACCTACGACCACACTTGAGCTCAAAATTCCTCTTGCTAAGTGAGACATTCGTTAAAGTGAGTTTTGCCCCATTTTACAACAAGTGAATGGCTGCCACTTTTAGTTTAGTTAGTTTACTTTATTGTCATTGCACCTCATACAACGAAATCAAACACCATCTTCAGTGCACATCATGACCATGAAAGTAAACACAAACACACATCCTTCACACTCCACACTTTGAATTGAAAACCCCTGCTATTGCATTAATATTGCACTATACAGTAGAATTCAAAAGAGCTACCGCCCTGGGATAGAAGCTGTTTTTCAGCCTATTTGTCCTTGTTTTTATTATTCTGTACCGGTTCCCAGGATGAGATGGACTCTTTGAGAATGTTTTGAACTTTCTTAAGGCAGCGGGAGCTATAAAGCTCTTCCAAAGAGGGGAGAGGTCAACCAATGGTCTTCTGGGCAATGACATTAACCCTCTGGAGTGCTTTCCTATCTGCCACTTTGCAATTGGCAAACGATACAGAGGTGCAGTAAGTTAAGATACTCTCTATGGTGCAGCGGGAGAAGGTCACCAGCAGTTTTTCATTCAGTTGTTGTTTCCTGAGAAGTCTCAGGTAGCACAATCTCTGCTGGGCCCTTTTGACCAGTGCTGCAATGTGAGCACTCCAGATCAGGTTCTCAGTGATGTTGTAACTTTGGCCACTGAACGAACTGTTGTAAGTTGAGGACTACCTGTACTTCAAAAGAAATGGTAAATTAAATTATTTGCAAGAACCTGGTGCTAAGAATGAGCTAAGAAAGCATGGTTCAGTGCCTAGTTATATGCAGGACCTTATTCTCCTATGATAATTTGCCTGACCAGTTGAATCTATTCATGCAAAATGGCTAATGGTACTCCACTTTAGGGAGGTCACCACATTATAAAAAAGATGTGGAGACTCTAGAAAAAATGCAGAGAAGAGCAACCAGGAGGATTAGGTGACTGGAGACTAAAACATACGAAGAAGGGCATGGCTAATCTAGTGAAGAGAAGGACCAGGGGAGACATGATAGCAGTCTTCCAATATTTGAGGGGCTGCCACAGAGAGGAAGGGGTCAAGCTATTCTCCAAAGCACCTGAAGGCCAGACAAGGAACAATGGATGGAAACTGAACAAGGGGAGATTTAACCTGGAAATGAGAAACTTTCTGACAGTGAGAACAATCAACCAATGGAACAGCTTCCCCTCGGAAGTTGTGGGAGCGCCATCACTTGAGACTTTCAAGAAGAGATTGGACTGCCATTTGTCAGAAATGGTGTAGGGTCTCCCACTTGGGTGGGGGGTTGGACTAGATGACCTACAAGGTCCCTTCCAACTCTGATTATCTGTTATCTGTTAGAGGTGAAGGGAGTTTTGAGGCTCAGTGGGGCTATTTATTAGTGGCTGCACTGGTGACCATAAGTGTGAGGACCACACTGCCTTCCCAGTCATCTTCTGATAAGCAAAGTCAATGGAGGAAGCCATGTGCTTCACTTAACTGTTGCAGTGATTGGCTTGACAACTGTGACAAGGCCATAAAATCAGGCATGACTTAACCACCTACCTTGCTTAGCAACAGAAATTCTGGTCCTAGTTGTGGCCATAAGTTGAGGCCTATCTCTAGATAATACCTTCTTAAATAAGGCTTTTCACTTCCAACGTATGGAATGGTCATGGAGTGAACCAGATACAGTAGGTAGCAGCAGGGTTTTAAAAATAGATAAGCTGGGCTTGCAGACCATGAAATGTGACTCACAAGGAAAGATGCCAAGAGATATTCAACTGTTCTACAACTGCGCTTGTTGTCACACTGGTTTTAGGCAAAATCATGGCATAAACAGATCTAGCAATTAAAATAAAGAAGTTGTTATTGTGGCAATCCTCAAAAGGCAGATAGGTAGGTAGATGGATGCTGAAAGCTGGTGACACATTAGCCTTTACTCATGCAGAAATCATTCTCAAGTTTTCTTTGCTTGAAGCCACACAGTGTACAAAAACATTGTAATAGGAAAAAGAACTACCGGAAGGAACCATAAGTATTCCAGAAATCCATTCTGTTGCTTAGTTCAGGGGTCCCCAACCACCGGGCCGCGGACCGGTACCGGGCCGTGGAGCACTCTTTACCGGGCCGCAAAGAAAAAAAAATAAAAAAAATGGCAGCTTTCTTCGCCTTCGGTGAATGCTGCTGGGATCGGGGATCAAGGACACAAATGAAAGAAGGGGAGGGAGGAAGCAACCGAAGCCTGTCCTGCTCTCTGGCTCAGCTCTCTCAGTCGCTTTCTCGCTCCTCCACCAGCCCAGGAAGAAACTGCTTCAAAGAAGCCGGGGGGGGGTGGCTTTTCCTGTCGCCGCAGCTTCCCCGAAGCGCCCGTTTCACCCCCACCCCGCCCGCCCACCCGCTCGCGGTTCAATCCACAGTGCTCCGTTCTGCCTGCCTGCCTGTCTGGTTGTTTGGGAGCAGCTTCGGCTGAGAATAATAACTATTCGACTCTTTTTATCAGCCGAAGCTGCTCCGAAACGAAGAAGGCAGGCAGGCAGGCAGGTAGAACGGAGCACTGTGGATTGAACCGCGAGCGGGCGGGGTGGGGGTGAAACGGGCGCTTCGGGAAGCTGTGGCGACAGGAAAAGCCACCCCACCCCCCGGCTTCTTTGAAGCAGTTTCTTCCTGGGCTGCTGGAGGAGCGATAGAGTGACTGAGAGAGGAACGAGGCAGACACCTGAGGGAGGGAGGGAGACACCTGAGGGATGGGGCTGAGGGAGGCAGGGCCGAGGCGCTCCCTGAACTTGGTGGTTTGCTGGCAGACGTTTTATTACCCGACTAGGTAACAACATCAGATGTTACCTAGTCAGGTAATGAAACGTCTGCAAGCAAACTACCAAACTCGGATTCTCTTCTCCCCCCCCCCCCCCCCGGTCCTTGAAAAAATGTTTCTGCTTGAAACCAGTCCCTGGTACAATAAAGGTTGGGGACCACTGGCTTAGTTGATATTTATGTTCCTGACTGAATTAAGACCATTATTTGCTTTTGATTTAAGATTAAACCTATCATTTCGTTGTATGTTGCTTCCTGAGAATGAACAAAAGTTACCACTTGCTGGAAGTATCTCCTGCATAAACCCCTTTTGTGTTGTCCCTGAGTATTTCCTGCACAAGTGTCAGTAAACGCAACATATTTCCACACCGTTGCAATTAGTGGGGTTTACTCTAGAGAAGCCTCAGCTGAATTAACTTACAGCTAACGTGGCAGCTTTAACTGCTCCCCTATTGCTGAAAAGCAGGTCACAGACACCAAGTGTTTCCAAAGTATCACATTTCTCCCTGGACATCTGTTGTGTGCAGCATTTGCAGGATGGGTTTGATTCATTATTATACATCACGACCTGGGCTTGTTTGACTCGAAATGTTGGCACAGGCTGTTTGCACCTGTTGTCTCTCATGTTGACACACCATAGCTATGCAAGGAATAAGTCCTGTTTGCCCTGGAAGGGAAACTAATATGCAGATTCCACCAGCCTTGCTTTCAAAGGAGAGAGAAATAAGGGAATGTGTTCTGAGGATGGAAATGGCTGTGGGAGAGCGGACTCGGGAAAAAGGGTGACCAAGGGGTGAGTATTCATTGCCAAAAAAAGCATATTGAAGATGAAGCCTTGGAGGGCTAGGTAGCAAGAAGGTCAAAAAGCAATTTCTCCTTCGTGCAGCGTCGGATGAGAGGGTTTTAACCTATGAATTTGGCATAAGAAAGGCCAAATGACCTTCAGTTCGTACCCACTGGATGGCCTATCGTAATTTGAAGTAGCTGATGCAATTCCTTCAGCGGGAAAAGCTAAAAGGAAAAGTGAAAGATGGCAACAGCTGATAGCCGAGAGTCTCCCTCTCTGCAGCACAAGGCTGGCGCTAATCTGCATTGACCTCTGTGGTATTTTAGATCCTTGGCTCAGCTAAGGTTGACAGCCAGTAATTGAAGAAGTGGCTGCAGCTGAGTGGCAAAGCACATGGTTTTGAGCTGGTTAAGCACTAGCTAAGGGCTCTTACATAGCAGGGCTCGGACAGACCTTGGGCTCAGTCCTGGCACAACTCCGGACAATTGGCAGAATCAGAAGGGGAGATATTGAACTGAATCCACCCCCCCCCCCCAACCCCCGAGACTAGTATTATCGAGGAAATTTCACCGGTAAGGAAAATTCTGGGTCATTTGAGAATGTATTAAGCACGTTTGGTGATAAGTGATTTTTTAATAAAATCATGATTGCGGCCACCCAAATCTTCTTGACATTTATCCGGAGAAAATCCTCAGGAGCGTGAGATCTGAACTGAAATCCCTGCTTGGTTATGAACTCTCTTGATGACCCGGGACAAATAACTTCACCATCTTTCTCATCTGTCATAGGAATGGTAAATGTATGTTAGCCCTGTCCATTGCATTTATGGAAATGTGCGTGCACTGAGGATTACCACCAAGGCCTATAGATGGTGTGCCACTGCTATGCACTGTCCCCCTCCCTTTTACTTCCTAACCCTTTCATGTGTACTGTGATCTAACTTGAGCAGGGAAAATATTACAACCCAAAACATTCCAGAGTAATAAATCACACCAAAGCCAGCTGTGTTGGGGCATGACAGAATGACTGATGGTTTAATGCTTCTTGAAAGTATTTTGTTTTTTTTTGTTTTGGTTTGGCTTCCTTCCGCAGGGCATTGTTTTGAGAAATAACAAAATGAGGTAAAATAAGTTAATTTTATGTACACTTTACAAACACTCAGTATCACATGGCGTCTGCAGCAACCGTCGCATAGACATTGGTATAAAATTGAACCTTAATGTGGCTTGGGCAGGTGTTCAACAGCCTGCACTTCACAATGTCGTCATCCTGAGAGTAGTTACCAAGTAGTAGTAGTAATAATAATAATGTGATCTTTTCTGTAAACATGTTTAGAAGCATTTGCGGTGGACAATGGATGGGCCGGCTTCATCGTATTCCTGTTTTGTGATCCACATCTGTTGGAAGGTGGACAGGGAAGCCAAGATGGACCCTCCGATCCAGACAGAGTACTTACGCTCTGGGGGGGCAATGATCTGAAAGAGGAAAATGGAAGGATTTAGCCAACATGGGAAAAACCAACAACAAAGCAAGAGATGCTTAATTAACAAGAGCAGAACCTCACAAGGAGGATTTCAAATAGACAATGGAGCAGCATCATGTCCTATCACTAAGACACTGACTTAAATGCAAAGCAATCTAAGCTTGAATTTAAAAATATTAATGCAATTCCTTTTTTTAAAAAAAAAAAAACCCAACCCCACAGCTTTCTGCATCCATTCCTATCAATTATTGTCCCTCTGTATCGTGAATTTCTGCCAACTCTGGTAAATTGCTTTAATTTTTTTCCAAACAGAAATAGGTGAAAAGCAAGCTAAGGCATTTAGCCAAACGTGCAGGTGATTTCATCAACTACTGGGATCAGTTACCTACTCTGTCTGACTCCTGGAAGATTTCAGAAAGTGTCAGAAGGGAAATGTAAGTCCAGAAATACTCGTTTGAAAGAAATTCCACTGAAATAAGTGGCTTGGAACATAGCCAAAGCTAATTTGGGTCCAAACTCATTGGTAATAATTTCTGCATGATTAACCCCCATTAGTAAAACTCTGGGCTGATTCCAGATTTGTCACACGTTCCAGAGTGGACTCATTGCAATAGGTGGAATAAAAATGACTATGTGTTGCAATGCATGGTGCTGTTTATGGTATTATCATCTGTCCTATTCCAATACATAGTTGTAAGTCGTGTAATTAAAGCCCACCTTGATCTTCATTGTGCTGGGAGCCAGAGCAGTGATTTCCTTCTGCATACGGTCAGCAATACCGGGGTACATGGTGGTGCCACCAGACATGACATTGTTGGCATACAGGTCCTTCCTGATGTCAATATCACACTTCATGATGCTGTTGTAGGTTGTCTCATGAATACCAGCGGATTCCATACCTGGTGGCATTGACAAAATAAAAGGATTGGGAAGAGGAATATAGCAATTCCAAGCATACGAACTTTCTGTAGGTAAAGGATCACAAAGATGAGAAATGCTAAGCAGGAAACCTACCAATGAAGGAAGGCTGGAAAAGGGTCTCTGGGCAACGGAAACGTTCATTGCCGATGGTGATGACCTGCCCATCAGGCAATTCATAGCTCTTCTCCAGAGAGGAAGAAGAGGCAGCAGTTGCCATCTCGTTCTCGAAGTCCAGAGCCACATAGCACAGCTTTTCCTTGATGTCACGGACAATCTCACGTTCAGCTGTGGGAAGAGGAGAAGAATTTAGCCGTTAGCCAAACAAGAAGTCCTGCCAGAGTGAAAGAAATGGGTGGGAGGGTGAGGGAACAGACAAGCACAGTAAAGAGGAAAGAATGCAGGCAGCTGTTGCATAACCCTGAAACTCCATTTTAAAAAGCACACACACACCTGGCAGTAGCAAGAAAGCAACACTCACACACTATTTTATGGTTGTGATGAAAGAGTATGAAACTCAAAACCTGGGTCTGATGAACTTCGCAATGCCGAAGAGCTTGGAAGAATCACCCACATTCTTCTGCATTTCTGTCCATGTCATATGCTCCGTTTTAGTGAGAGCCACCCTATGCCCACGGAACCTTTCCCCGCTTCCTCTTAAATTAACTAAGGCAGAAATGTGCCCTAATCACTTCCCCCCCACACTATCTTGAAGATATCAATCTCCTTCTCATGAGACAGGATTAAGTGACATCCACCTTATCAATATTATTTCTAACCTGCTTCCACCCTGAAACTTGGGGTATCATATGTTGTGTTCCTTCCTCCAATCCCCCCACCCAATAACAACTATCTTGTGATACCCCCATGGGTGGAAAGAAGAAATTAACTGGCCCAAAGTTATCCAGAAAGCTTCCATTGTTAGGGATGGTCTAGAAAACTGGGTGGTATTTTCTGACTCTCCCCCCAAAAAATGTTCTCCAAGGTGGTGTTCCAAAGAACTAAGGGGCAATTAAGAGGCCAGACCTGCTGGTGAGAAGGTCTTTCCGATTCTAAATATGGACAAGCTATTTAGGATTAGCCAAGAACTAGAGCAACAGAAGAGGGTTGGGAGGTTCCATCATTACCTGTGGTGACAAAAGAGTAGCCTCTCTCAGTCAGGATCTTCATCAGGTAGTCAGTGAGATCCCGACCAGCCAAGTCCAAACGCATGATGGCATGGGGCAGGGCATAACCCTCATAGATGGGCACATTGTGGGTGACACCATCGCCAGAGTCCAGCACAATACCTGCAGGAAAAAGGAAGAGATGCCATTTTTAACGAAGGAGGCTACGTGTTTCACCAACTTACAGATCTAGGTTGATACGGGACACGTAACAATAGGGAAGTAAGAAGAGACAAGACAACTACGCGAGTCACGAGGGATTCCCAACACTCCCACAGTCAACGTTAGCCAGTTAATAATTCCCTTTCATTAAGGAGTAGGCTAGACATTGAGGCAATGTACATTTTTTTCTGTGGGAAACTTTAGTCATGCACATAGTTGAACTTTTCATTCTTTTAATGGGCTGAACAAAATTTTACTGCCTAGAACGGACCAAGAATATAGACAGCCAGTAAAGGCATGAAGGGAATGTACTATGCAAGAGTTAAATAGTCCATTCTACAAAGAAATAAAGAAGACCAAAAAAGGTATATCTGAAAAAGCCGTTGCCAATAAACGTATATTAGCCTTTCCCAACCAGGACCTTTTCAGAACTACTGGAATGCAGTTGTCTAGTCAGACAATATAATCCAAGGTATGAGGAATATATGAGGCCGAGAAACATTAGTTTCTAGATAACATTAGTTAACTAGATGGACTTAATATAAGCCAATTCAGTTTGTCTTATGTTCCTAAACCCATGTCACTGACAGGGTATCTCCTAGACTAGCTTCTTCTTAGAAAGAAAGAAGTTGGTGGTGTTCCCTTGGAACTTGGCCTTTTGATTCTCTATTTCCAGCAACCAGCACTCACCGGTAGTACGGCCAGAGGCATAGAGGGACAGCACAGCCTGGATGGCCACATACATGGCAGGGACGTTGAAGGTCTCAAACATGATCTGGGTCATCTTTTCACGATTGGCCTTGGGGTTAAGAGGGGCTTCAGTGAGCAGGGTGGGGTGCTCCTCAGGGGCAACACGGAGCTCATTGTAGAAAGTATGATGCCAGATCTTCTCCATGTCATCCCAGTTGGTGATGATGCCATGTTCAATGGGGTACTTCAGGGTCAGGATACCTCTTTTGCTTTGGGCTTCATCCCCTACGTAGGAGTCTTTTTGACCCATACCCACCATGACACCCTAGGAAGAAAGAGGAAAAAACACTTAGCAATTTCCACTGGCTGTTTTCTATCCTATACATTGCAAGTTAATCAAAAGAGTATCAGGCTCTTCTTATTAAGTCCTTCACAAAACAGACAATAAATTGTAGGACAAATAACGGCAGTAATTAACTCAGAGATCATTTAGACAATGTTACGATGATCTCTACAGAGCAGCCAATTTATTATCTTGTATTCTTGATCTGAAATAGTGTAGAATCTTTGGGTTATGATGGACATTCACTTTTTCAAAATAATAATAGCACAGGGAGTTCCAGCTCAGGGACCTAACAACTGTCTCAAAATGTAACTCACTTCTGTGCATGATCCCCAAATAGTAAATCTTACACAGTTAAGGGGACTTATGTCATGGTAATTTTAATGGCTTCAGATGGAGCCACCTGAGCCTTAGGAAGATGATCAAGAGTGGGGGAAAAGAAAGAAATACAATGAGTCCTCTGACCTACTAATTCCTCACCCTTAATCACAGTCCAGGCCTTCCTAGCAAAGTAAAATTTAAAACAATATATGCTGCATCTTTCAGTCTGCCTATTGTTGAAGAGAAGCACAGCTGGTGAAAAGGGAAAGCATACCTGATGACGTGGGCGGCCAACAATGGAGGGAAAGACAGCCCTAGGGGCGTCATCCCCAGCAAAGCCAGCCTTCACCAAGCCGGAGCCGTTGTCGCACACAAGTGCGGTGGTCTCATCCTCATCACACATGGTGTTGGCTTTCTAAGAATGGAAGGAAAAAACAATAAAACTCACAGGAGGCACCAGGAAGCTATGCAAGCTCAGGACACAAAGACTACAGGAAGATTTTCAACCTTAATAAATTCAGTAGATTTCCCTTACTGGGGGAAAGGGCAGTGTGAAATAGTTCACCCTTACAGCTGTTCTCACTAATAAGTGAGGAAACTCAGGGGAAATCATCCATATTAAAAACACATAAAGCTCCTTCTCTGTTCATCTGCTGATTCCATTAATCATTAAAAGCTGCAAAGTAAAATATGATAACAATGATGTTAAAGTACTAGATTATTGGTGGAGCTTAACCAAATTTATTTGGAACTAATGACCTGTTTGTTTCAATAAGATTTACTTCTGCAGTTTTGTAATGGGATCAAAGGGAAGTCTATTTAAAATAATCAATATATGCTCAGGGTTGTAATTTTAGCCTCTCTATAAAAACAAATTAAATCTAAAGTCAGTTGTTTCCTAAAGGACATTACACATTGCCCAATAATAACTAGATTACCTTATTACATTGTTCATGTGTAAATATTACACATATACACTGCAATGAACCCTTTTCACTTCAGTGGTTCTATTATCAAGTAAGTTTGTTTGAGAAGAATACAGAATTTTAAATGCACAACTGAAGTGGCCAGGATATCAGAAGATGGGAAAAAGAGACTGGAGTTGGTCCTTTTTGTTTTTCAGATATTAATTCACTAGGGGTGGTGTTTTTTTTTTTCATCCTCCAAGTGTACTGGACTAAAACTTTCATGACACCAAAAAAATTGTTGGTTGAGGAATGTAGGAACAGTTATCGAATACATCCAAGGGTGCCAATTTGAGCAAGAATCAAAACATGGGCTATTTCTCCAGGCAAAGTATATTATTTTGAAGAAAAAAAAATTGAGGACTTGATTTCTTAAAATGCATGAGAAAGGCTAGTTTTGAAGGGTGGCCTGTGAATTTTGAAAATAATTAAATAGGAATATGAAGCCAGATTTCCCAGCATACTAGACACACTGATTTACTGATCTTTTCTTTTATGTATACTGAGAGCATTTGCACCAAGACAAATTCCTTGCGTGTCCAATCACACTTGGCCAATAAAAGAATTCTATTCTATTCTATTCTATTCTATTCTATTCTATTCTATTCTGTTCTGTTCTGTTGTTCTGTTCTGTTCTGTTTCTATTCTGTTCTATTTATAGAGGTGCAACAGCACCTCTATAATTATAGAGGACATCCTTTTCTTTCTTCAAACTGTCAGGTACCCAATCCAACTCCGAATGACAATATTTGACAATTAGTTAGACTGTTCTTTAATGTTAGGAACTAAAGAGATGTAAGCCACTAATAAACCCAATCAGGTCTCATCTGACAAATACTTAATAAAACGTGGATGTTTCCTTCAACAAGCTGATTATTTTGGTCTGGCACTTATACTTTTCCAGTAATTAGTTTTAGCCCATCCGGTTGCTGTCCATTTCCAATTCCTCCTAAACTGCTAATCATGATGATTTGGAGAAAACTACCTTGTTTCCACAACTGATCTGAGCCTACATTTCTTGGACCATCGTTCTGGATCTCGGCTGACTTCAGCTTTGGGTGATTCAGTGCCACCATCTATTATTATTTGCTTGACTTTGAAAGCTTGCCCCTGGTTGTTCCAGCAAAAGGCAAGATCTTTCTTTCCTCTTGCCATAAAACGGCAGTAAAATCAGGAGAAGAGGCTTGGAGGCATCTGTTTCCCACCCATCCAGGAAAAGCAGCAAAGCTGCTTCAGGCTTTGGCCATTTGTTGAGCTTAAAGCTGAAGAGGTAGAGCTTCTTCCCCATCGGCCACCCCACCCCACCACTCTCCATGTCTCCTCCTCCAGTCCGAAGAGCTGCTGCGCGGAGAAGCCGGGTCCAGCCAACCGGCCAGGCACCCGCCCTCCGGCTGCCGGCCTCACTCACCTTGGGGGTTGGTTCCTGGCTCTCAGCTCCGGTTGCCGCTTATTCCCAGCTCTGCTGGTCGGTGGGCTTGCGAAAGCCCGGCGGGGTTTTATATAGGCCCTTGCTGGCTTCTCCCCTCCCCTGTCGCCGACCCACAGGAATGTCTCCATATTTGGGTGCTGGGCATCGAGACTGGCCAGGCGGCCGGAGAGGAGCCCCCCAGGCCCCTTGCTCGGCCGCGGGGCTGCCCAAAGAAGGAGCGCCTGGCCCAGACCCAGGTAGCACGGGCCGGGCCGTATAAGGATTGTCTGCCGGCGACCCCCGCCCGGCCACCAAAAGCTCCCTTCCCAAATAATCTTCCGAGCCATCATGCCCGGAAAGGAGACAGAAGCCCCGAGAACGGGCGCGGGGCGCGCGGGGGTGGCCATCCCTGCCTGACCGCGGAAGGAAGGAAGGAAGGAAGGAAGGAGGAAGCTGCCGGGCAGAAGGCGGGCAGAAGAGCGCCGCGGAGCTGGCGAGGCCGCGGCCCGCCCTCCCAATCGGCGCTTGGACCTCGCCGCGGCTTTCTGCTCCTCCTCGCCTCCGGCTCTGCGAGGTGGAAAAAGACACAAGCGGGTAGCCGCGGTTGGTCGACCCCTTGAGGGGCTTTCAGCGGACTTCGCCTGGGTTGCAAAGTGAGCCGCGGCTCACTTTGCCCCTTGCAAAATCACACCGATTGGTAAAAATTCCCTAAAACTTATTTACCCTATATATTCTTTTAAAGTTATTAAAAGGATGTCTGTGGGGTGCCATGGTCCCAAAGGTTTACTTTTACTGCTCTGAGGTTCCACCGTGGACTGTCATCTCCTTGCCTTAATTTAAGGGAAAACCATACACTTATTTTTTTTTCTAGGATTCAACCCAAAGTGACAATGTGTTGGTTGGGTTTCAGTACATAACATGCGTTCTTTTTCATCTCCTCCAGCAACCTCAAAATAATTGTGATGCTTATAAAAACATGTTCAGAAAAAAATATTATTGTAAAGCAAAGTTATTTGCTATGGGAGCATTAAGAATCAGGTTGACAACACAGGTCAACACTTTCAAGACTCATAAACCCAGGTGATTCAAGCGGGCCAAAACCGGATTAAGTATGTTACAGTTAGATCACCTTCACAGTTCTGAACATTTGAAAAATGGTGTTTTTTTTTTGTTAAAAACAATTGTTACTTTTATTATGCTGTGAAATATTTTTATAACATGAACATACTTGCCATGGACAATCATGGCTGAGGAGGAATATTCATCGAGGTCTGTGGCTTCTGGCCAAAAACACCAGTTCTCAAAACAGTTGTCTGTTAAAGGAGCGGTCAAGATCAGAGTACATAGAGCAGCATTTCTGAAGTATTATTTGTATGAGAAGAGCAGGGTTTTGGCTGGACTGCCAACCACTATAAAGGAACATGTTTAAATGTACTTTAAAATGCTGTGCAAAATCATTTTTATATATAGAGGATGATAAATACCGAAGGCTCTGGCTGGCTGCCAACCACATTGAAGAGTTACTATACACCATGAGTTCGCCGTACTTCACGCTATTTATACCACATGGGTAAGCTGACTTTAAAAGAAAAAAAACCTAAAGCAATTCACATCTAGTTATGGTCATGGAGGAGGTTAATGGCAGTTTTGGGATTGGAGGAAGGGTGGAAGTAAAAGTCCCCTTTTGGCAACAGCCAGTTATGGAGATGAGATGAAAATGAAACCCTTGGAGAGCCTTCTCCACCTTGGTACTTGCCAGATATATTCGGACTGCAATTCCCAGGATTCCTAATCATGCTGACTGGGAATTCTGGGAGCTGTAGTTTTGGCATTCTCAAAAACATATACTATCTGTGTATTGGACAAGAGTTTGAACTAGATGATCTCTGAGAGAGACCTAAGAGAGCTAATCTGGTGTAGTGGTTAAGGCACCAAGCTAGAAAGCAAACAAATACAAGTCCAGTCTTACCATGAAAGCCAGCTGGGTGACTTTGAGTCAGTTACTCTGTCCCAGCCCAATTCACCTCACATTTTGTGAGGAAAATAGGAGTAGGAAAGTATGTTGGATATGTTCATCACCTTGAATTATTTATAAAAATAATAAAGGTAGTACAATACATATTCCTTCTAATCCTTTATTCTATGTCTCTAGTTGAAAAAAAAAACAATAGATGTGTTTCTAAAAGGAAGTTAACATATTCGCAGCAAATGTAACAAACATTTTCAGCAATCTTACAGGCAGGTCTAAACAAAACAGCGTATTAATTATGCAGGTACATATGTATATCCAGCATTAGCCCCTCTCACCTCCACACATGGAAGTGAACAAGCCCTAATTTGTTACTTACCTCTTACTAAACGTTTTTGCTTTGAGGTTTCATGAACTGTTGTCCAAGCACGTTCATGCTATTTTCAAAAACATGGAATCTAGATAGTTCTCAATTTACAACAATTCATTTAGTGACTGTTTGAAGTTACAATGGCACTGAAAAAGTTATGACCATTTTTCACACTTATGGCCATGGTGGGATCCTTATGATCACGGGATTAAAATTCAAACACTTGGCAATATGACAGTTGAAGTGTCCAAGGCTCAGGGGATTACCTTCTGCGACCTTCTGACAAGCAAAATCGATGGGGGAAGTCAGATTCACTAAACAAACCTGTTACTAGCGTAAAAATTACACTGATTCACGTAATAACTGTGGTAAGAAAGGTCGTAAAATGGACAACATTCGTTTAACAAATGTCTCACTTAACAACAGAAATTTTAGAGTCAATTTTGGTTGTAAGTCAAGAACTACCTGTACTAGTTATGTACTCCCTGCTATTGAAGATGCTGTAGCATAATAGCAGTACTACAAACTGTCTTTGGGTAACATAATCTCAGACAAAAACAGTTCTTCAAGTATGCAGTAGAATGAGTGGTCTGTGTTTATTGATTCAATAGTACATTGACACTAGCAAACGTGTAATCAACTTCACTATTATGCAATAAGTATCATGGATTCAATTGGAAAAAATATTAGCATGTCAAGGAGCACAAACAAAGCTCCAGTCTACAATTCCTTAAAACAGCTGCATACAATCCCAGGAAATGATGCAATTGCCCACAGACATTGTAGGCAGTCCTGTGTTTCTGTGTTCTGGGGTATCATTTAGAGAACAAAGCATCCTGAAGCCCTTTTAGATTTAATGGATTAATCCTCACTGGATAAAATTCCTTTATACAGGACTTTGAGGAAACCCAAACTAAAATGTACAGTATATAAAAGACTGATGATGTAATAGGTTATTAAATGCATATTATCTATTTAATAGCTTTAAGATCAGCAAAGGAAAGGATCTCCATTCCAACATTTTTAAAATGGAAACAGGCATCCAGAGATGAGTGCTAAAGTAAAAGGAAAACTGGTTCTCAACAATAAGTTATCACATTCATACTATTGTGCTTATTAATGAATAAAAAACCAAACTTTGAGCACCTAGTCATATTCCTCTTGAAAGGCATCCTGTGAAACCTAGTATTTTAGGTACATCAAATTACTACTGCAAAACTAAAAAGTAAATATATATCCAATTAATCTGTAAAATTACTTATCATCAATGATGGACAACTTACACCTTATAACTTACATTTTCATCAAAGACTATGTGGACAGCAAATTGTATAAAATAAACTAATAACTAATGTAAGGGTAACTTTACACCTTTATAATTTCCTGAAGCTAAGCAGATGTGTTAGTATTGTGCTTATTACAGATTATTTTATAAACCTTCATGTCATTGGTATAAACTTCTACAGTAACTTTTTCCTGATTTCTGTAAGCAAGAGTTATTTGCTCTATAAACATAGTTGGGAATTATGGCTGAAGGATTTACAACGGCATAAAAGTTTTAGCCAGTATTAAGAGAGACAAATCCAATCAGGTTCAAGCAATTAGAGAAGGGTAAGTGCAAAGCTCATCCCCGTAGGAGAAATTACTGCAGTTTCTCAAGTTTCTGCCAACAGAAGTAACAACTTTACACCTTTATCTACTCAAAACCATACTATGGCTTTATAAGTATCACTTAGATACTGAAACACTCTCTTTTAAGTTAATGAATGTGCTTGCTAAATTAAGAGTAAAATTAGTCTCGCCACCTAGAATTTTCATTAATTGGAAAGTATAGTAGAAACTCTCTTTCCCATTGCATGACATTGAATGACAGAAGTATTAATAACACTGTGATTTGTTACAAATGCTGTTTCTTTTGTAAGTTTAAATAACTGCTGAACAATTAATATGCATACATTTTATTTATTTATACATCACCTTTCATTTGGGAACTTAATGTGATGCTTATGGTGCTGACTCTCCAGTTTTTCCTAACAATCATGTGAGGTGACAACTTTCCAGTGAAAGGAATTCACAGCAGTTATTGCAAGATATTCCTTGAATGAATTCAATTGACTCATTTTTCCCATTAAACCAATCCAGTGCTTCCAACAAAACGAATACATCTACTGAAACCGAAACACATTTGGTATTTTTTTATATAAGACCATCCGATTCAGATGATTTTTCAGCCGTTTTTCAGAAGAAAAAATAGCACAATTTTGGAATGAAATTGTCAGTTGTTGGGATCTGTACTCATATATCAGTATCTATATCATTCCAGAGGCTGCTCATTAAGTGAAATAATTTCTCAGAATTTAGGTTTTGCATTAATACCATTGCATGCTTCCATGGGAATACTCTGTTGAACTCACTGAGATGCACTTCTTAGTAAACTGCCCAAATCAGGGCTATGTCTTCTCATAAAACTCTTAACAAATATTCGGATAACACATTTTCATGTACTCAGAGCCTGCTGTTTATTCTGAATAATTAGAGAAAAGCTGTTTTAGCTTTTTGGGAAATGTTAACATCAAGAGAGAATTTCTACAAAATTCAGATTATGTAGCCCTTTATATATCAAAGCAAATTATAGTTTGGACTGAAATGAAAAGCTCTAGGACTTTAATCAGACCAGAGCATTTTTCAATGCTTTTTAAACCGAGAAAGCAGAATAAAAATGTGATCTTTTGTCAGCTTTATTTCATTACTATGTTTTGATTTTTTAACGTTATATTAATAGCTTGAGGTGTC